TTTTTTTTTGTTTTTTTTTTTTTGGTTGGTAATACTGCGTCCGAGCAGGCATCAGTAGGAGCAGTAAAGTACTCTGCGGCGCTGTCCTATGGTGTAGAGTGGGCTAGCGAAGATAAGAGAGTAGGTGTTTATAACTTTATACCTGTTGGTAGGAGAGACCAGCCATGGCAGAGAACTGTTCTTGATGTATTTACTATTTATCGTTAAGACTCAAGAGGCAAGAAGGGTTGTGGCCCTTGTGGGTCACACTTCAAAAGTCTTGTCAATCAAGATTGCAAACAATTGGAAAATTAAAAAAAAAAAAAAAAAAAAAAAGATTGGAAACAATCATAGAGATTGGAAAAGCAATCATAGACTGAGAAGAAGGGACCTTCCCCACACCTGTTTTTTTTTTTTTTTTTTTTTTTTTCCCCTTGATCACGGATATGCCGCAACTAGGCGAGTGTTCATCTGTGAAAATCCGAATGATAAAAAAAAAAACAAAGAAAGAGATGAAACGGTTTTCACCTTTTAGCAGTAGCGGATGCAGTACCCAGGGTTCGATCCCTAGACCTCACCCTACCCATGTACAGTATCCTGTCTCTTATACACATCTAGATGTGTATAAGAGACAGCTCTCTCTCTCTCTGTGTCTGTGTGTGTGTGTGTGTGTGTGTGCCTTTCTCTCTTCCTCTGTCTCTGCCTCTGTGTATGACGCAAGTACCAGGGAATGAGGATAGTTGGGCTGATTTAGAATCCCATATAGTTTGAGATAATGGCTGTGATGAGCATCTGAGCAGGAGGCAGAAGGATGTTCATGATACATGTATCGCATGCCATGGACTTGATGTGTTCTCTGTGAAAGCAAAGCCCCACACATTGAGTTTGATTCGCATCTGTATCTCTCACTGTCTGTCTGTCTGTCTGTCTGTCTGTCTGTATCTCTGTGACACAAACACAGATGCATGTTTCTTTTCTGGAGCTAGCAGTTCTGATCGTCTGAGCGAACAAACATTGAGGAAGGAGAGTGATGAAAGGGTGGAAGGTAAGAGAGAAGATACAAAAAAAATGAAATACATCATAAGACTAAGAGGATCACTCTCCCAGTGGAAACAGCAAATCTCTATGCCCTCCTAGGGAGGCAAAAGCAAGCAGTCAGTCCTGTGTTGGTCGCCATGTCTTGTTATATTCAGAGATTTCTTTTCTTTCTTTATTTGTATTCAGATTGTGCCTTGGTGGAAAGGAAGTACCCCCTGAAAACAGACAGGTAACGTGGCCGTACAGACACATTTTCATAACTTGTTCACAAAAAAAAGGGGGGGGGGAAAAGAAGGGAGCTCTACGTAGTCAGAAGTACTAATAACCGTACAAACAAAAAAACACAAACTTAAGAAAACGGAGGGCTTAGCCGGGTTAGCCCAGATGTTACACCCATAAGCTGTGGAAATACTGAGTTCAATTCCTGATGAATTCAGATGAGCACAATGAACTAATTCCTGTCTCTTATACACATCTAGATGTGTATAAGAGACAGGTTCAAGAGCTGTGAGATTCGACAGTGAGTCATCGCTGCACCCACTCTTGACAGATCCTCTTGAATTTATTTTTCAAAAAAAAAAAAAAAAAAAGAAGGCCCGGTCATTATCGCTGCTGCATCTGGACTGAAAGCTGACCCAACGCCTATAATAATCAGCCGTTGCATTAGGGTGAAGATGGTAGCTACCATTGAAAATGTCTTCTTAATGCAAACACACCTGTACGCATCGAATTTATCTGTAGCACATATGGAGCACGCGATTGGGCCTCTTGCGGCAATCTGCATACAATCCACACAGAAAAATGGAGACAACGTAGGATAAGAAAGGGGATAGGAAAAACCCAAACATAACTATGCAAACACAGAGGGAAGCATTCTTCGAAATGCCGAAGGCACCATGCTGTATCGAAGCCAAAGTTTAGTTGGAATATTATAATGCAGCGGACTAGGAGTGCGAGTGGAAGGAGATAGGGAGCTCGCTAACACATCTAAGGGCACACCAACAAAGATCAAGTGAAGAGGCTTTCGGTACTGAAATGATGGCGAGAGCGTATTATGTCCCATTTGGGGGAGGGTGGGAGGGAAGGATGGTACGATGGAGGAAGAGATGAATGGACAACAGATCGACGTACAGACGGACAGACAAACGGAGGGAGGGACGGACGGAGGGAGTGAGGGGTGAAGGGACAGATGGAAGGAGGGATGGACAGATGGACGGATGGACGGATGGACGGATGGACGGATGGATGAATGGACGAATGCACTGATGGACGGCTGGGCAGATGGAAAGACAGAGGGACTGAGGGATGGACGGACAGATGGAGGGACGGGTCGACGGATGGACCAATGCATGGACGGATGGACGGATGGACGGAGGGACGGCAGGACAGAGGGACGGAGCGACTGAGAGACGGACGGACTGACGGAAGGATCGATGGATGCATGGATGGAGGGAGAGCCGGGGGAGGGACGGTAGGAGGGAGGGAGGGAGGGTGGTAGGGAGGGAGTCGGGAAGGGAGGGTGGTAGGGAGGAAGGGAGGGAGGGCGGAAAGGA